CCCCCCCCCCCCCACCAATATCCCCCCCCCCCCTCCCCCCCCCAAAACCCAAAACCCCCCTCCCCAAACCCCCCCCCACCCAAACCCCCCCCCCCCCCCCACCCAACCCCACCCCCCCCCCCCACCCCCCCCCCCCCCCCCCCCCCCCCCCTCCACCCCCGCCCCCCCACCCCCCCCCCCCCCACCCCCCCAATAACCCCACCCCCCCAAACAACCCCACCCCCCCAATAAAAACCAAAACCCCCCCCCACCCACCACCCCCCCAACCCCCCAACCCCCCCCCCCCCCCACCCCACCCCCCCCCCCAAAACCCCCCCCCCCCCCCCCCCCCCCCCCCCCCCCACCCCCCCCCCCCCCCCCACCCCCCCCCCCCCCCCCCACCCCCAAAACCCCCCCCCCATCATAAAAACACAACCCTCCCCCCCCAACACACCCCCCCCCCCCCCCCACCCCCCCCCCCACTCCCCCCCCACCCCACCCCACACCCAAAAACCCCCCCCCCCCCCCCCCCCCCCCACACCCCCACAACCCCAAACCCAACCACCCCCCCCCCCACCAAACCCCCCCCCACCAACCACCCACCCCCCCCCCCACCCCCCCACCACCCCCCCACACCCCCTAACCCACCCGACAATGTGTGAACCCACCGATACCAACCCCACACCCCCCCCACTACCCCCTGGGGGGCCAACCAACAAACCCATCACCCCCATCAATTGTGTGCCAAATATAACCAACTCCCAACAAACGCACAAAGCTGAAAATTGGCGCCCATCTTACCCCCATCCTTCATGAACAGCGCAACCCCCCCCACTCCTGGACTGCCCCACTCACCCCACCACACAAAACAAACCAGCTACCGGACGGAAAGTGGTTAAAGCTGTTCCTGAACCCTTTTTGAATACCAATTATAGGATTTACATTACCGTGGACTTTTTGCAAGAACATCAAGACAAATCAACCTCTCTCATGGGAGTTTACACCCCCTTCAGAATTACCCCTCCGGAGGCTAAGTTGCTGTTATCATCCATTTTCTGGCATAATCTTTGTCTATCCCATCTCAGATGACACTGAGCGCATTCTCATGCACAACTGCTATATAATCGATGAGAGATCTGTGGAAGCTCTGATGGTGAGATATCCACAGTCTTTGATGTTCACGTTCTTTGGACCCTACTGTATAATCCTTTTGAATCTATGTCCATATACTGTTCCATTCCTGCTTCCCTATGTATGGCTTCATCCCCCTGTATCCAAACCATTGCCCTGAATTTTCATCCACTGTTTCCATCTTTTCACCCCCCCCCCTACTGTTGATATTAAAACACTGACCCAATCTGCTGCCTTATCATTTTCACCACTACACAACTATTGACGGTCAATGGATATCTTCAAGCGGTGAGACAGTCAGTACCCATGGTGTCCGTTTATGACACAGAGAATAGCTGTGCGATTCAACGGATCTCAGCTATTTACTCTGGTTCATTCACAGTTTATAAACACTCAGGAGATCATGTCAGCCCTTCACTGGAGATCTGTGTTCTCCCCCTCCAGATTCTCCAGCCCCAGAGCTGGAGAATCAGAGTAGGGACCGCGCAAACTAAGCAGCAATAATTTAACCTCTGCTTAGTAAACTGATCTTTTACTGTAATCTCGCGAGAGATTATAGTAAAATCAGCCGTTTTCCCACAGAGTTTGTAGACCGTTCTCCAGCGTTTGGAGACCGTTCTCCCCCTTCGTTCGGAGAACTGCTTTCATAAACTGCATTCCGAGAATGCCGGAGAACTGAGCAGCAATCTATTACCTCTGGCTCATAAAACGGACACCTATACCGCTTATGCTACCACTGGATACCAGCATGGAAACTTAATATAAGTGGATGCAACACTTTGATCTTACTTCATGATGAGAATTTTTTACCTCTTTAGTATTTGCAGCTACTTCATGTCCTTTTTCCTTCACAGTTGGAACAATCCTTATGAGGTTATGTATTATCTGGTTTCCAAGCCCATTTAAATGCTATATCTAATTAAGCTATGTGTATGGCGTGGACAAATGTTTTTATCACACTGTCTTTTAATGTTATTATGGCTGATTGTATGTTCACTTTGAGAAGAAGCTTATTCTTCACATGATCCTTGGGATCATATAATAAAGATACTTTATGCATTCATATTTATGCATTATTTATAGAGAATGAGCGAATCGAAGTAGGCGAAGTGTGAATTCGAGTCGAATATTGGAAAATAAGCCTACTTCGGACGCGCAATCGAAATTTTTCCTAAAATGGCGGCGGACATGTGCGGCGACGGAGCGGGGATGTCTGGGAAGCGCGCAGACAAGGCGCGCTGACCCATAATGCATTCCTTAATGACATGTGATCGCATTAGCAATCAGCAGCCAGCCAGCCAGCACATGTGTAATGGTCGAGCTATAAATAGCGGCCATTTTAGAATTCTTCATTTGCCTCCAGTCATTCAAGAGAGGCAGACCGCGCTCTGTATTAGGGACAGAGTTAGGGCCACAGAAACGTTACTTGGGGACAGAGAAACGTTACTTAGGGACAGAGAAGCATTACTCAGGGACACAGAATTGTTAATGAGGGCCACAGAATCGTTACTTAGGGCCAAGAAACGCTAGTTAGGGCCACAGAAATTGTTACTCAGGGACAGACAGAATGTTACTGAGTGCCAGAGAATTGTTACTTAGAGGCCACAGAAACGTTAGTTAGGGCCACAGAATTGTTACTCAGGGACAGACACAGAATTGTTACTGAGGGCCACAGAACTGTTACTTAGGGCCACAGAAACGTTATTATTAGGGCCACAGAATTGTTACTCAGGGACAGACAGAATTGTTACTGAGTGCCAGAGAATTGTTACTTAGGGCCACAGAAACGTTAGTTAGGGCCACAGAATTGTTACTCAGGGACAGACACAGAATTGTTACTGAGGGCCACAGAACTGTTACTTAGGGCCACAGAAACGTTACTTAGGGCCACAGAATTGTTACTCAGGGACAGACACAGAATTTTACTGAGGGCCACAGAACTGTTACTTAGGGCCACAGAAACGTTAGTTAGGGCCACAGAATTGTTACTCAGGGACAGACACAGAATTGTTACTGAGGGCCACAGAATTGTTACTTAGGGCCACAGAATTGTTACTCAGGGGACAGACAGAATTGTTACTGAGGGCCAGAGAATTGTTACTTAGGGCCACAGAAACGTTACTCAGGGACACAGAATTGTTACTGGGCCACAGAATTGTTACTCAGGGACAGACACAGAATTGTTACTGAGGGCACAGAAATTGTTACTTAGGGCCACAGAAACGTTACTTAGGGCCACAGAATTGTTTACTCAGGGACAGACACAGAATTGTTACTGAGGGGCCACAGAATTGTTACTTAGGGCCACAGAATTGTTACTTCAGGACACAGAATTGTTACTGAGGGCCACAGAACTGTTACTTAGGGCCACAGAAACGTTAGTTAGGGCCACAGAATTGTTACTCAGGGACAGAACACAGAATTGTTACTGAGGGCCACAGAATTGTTACTTAGGGCCACAGAAACGTTGTTACTCAGGGACACAGAATTGTTACTGAGGGCCACAGAACCGTTACTTAGGGCCACAGAATTGTTACTCAGGGACAGACACAGAATTGTTACTCAGGGACACAGAATTGTTACTGAGGGCCAGAACCGTTACTTAGGGCCACAGAAACGTTACTCAGGGACAGACACAGAATTGTTACTGAGGGCCACAGAATTGTTACTTAGGGCCACAGAATTGTTACTTAGGGCCACAGAATTGTTACTCAGGGACACAGAATTGTTACTGAGGGCCACAGAACCGTTACTTAGGGCCACAGAATTGTTACTCAGGGACACACAGAATTGTTACTGAGGGCCCACAGAACCGTTACTTAGGGCCACAGAATTGTTACTTAGGGACAGACACAGAATTGTTTACTGAGGGACACAGAATTGTTACTGAGGCCACAGAAACGTTAATCAGGGACACAGAATTGTTACTGAGGGCCACAGAACCGTTACTTAGGGCCACAGAAAAGTTACTCAGGACACACAGAATTGTTACTGAGGGCCACAGAACCATGTTACTTAGGGCCACAGAATTGTTACTCAGGGACACAGAAGACAGAATTGTTACTGAGGGACACAGAATTGTTACTGAGGGCCACAGAACCGTTACTTAGGGCCACAGAAACGTTAATCAGGGACACAGAATTTGTTACTGAGGGCCACAGAACCGTTACTTAGGGCCACAGAAACGTTACTCAGGGACACAGAATTGTTACTGAGGGCCACAGAACCGTTACTTAGGGCCACAGAATTGTTACTCAGGGACAGACACAGAATTGTTTCTGAGGGACACAGAATTGTTACTGAGGGCCACAGAACCGTTACTTAGGGCCATAGTTACACAGAAACGTTACTCAGGGACACACAGAATTGTTACTGAGGGCCACAGAACCGTTACTTAGGGCCCACGAAACACAGACATTAATTGTTACTCAGGGCCACAGAATTGTTACTTAGGGCCACAGAATTGTTACTCAGGGACACAGAATTGTTACTGAGGGCCACAGAACCGTTACTTAGGGCCACAGAATTGTTACTCAGGGACACAGAATTGTTACTGAGGGCCACAGAACCGTTACTTAGGGCCACAGAATTGTTACTCAGGGACACAGAATTGTTACTGAGGGCCACAGAACTGTTACTTAGGGCCACAGAATTGTTACTCAGGGCAGACACAGAATTGTTACTCAGGGACACAGAATTGTTACTGAGGGCCACAGAACCGTTACTTAGGGCCACAGAATTGTTACTCAGGGACACAGAATTGTTACTGAGGGCCACAGAACCGTTACTTAGGGCCACAGAATTGTTACTCAGGGACACACAGAATTGTTACTGAGGGCCACAGAACCGTTACTTAGGGCCACAGAAATTGTTACTCAGGGACAGACACAGAATTGTTACTCAGGGACACAGAATTGTTACTGAGGGCCACAGAACCGTTACTTAGGGCCACAGAATTGTTACTCAGGGACACAGAATTGTTACTGAGGGCCACAGAACCGTTACTTAGGGCCACAGAATTGTTACTCAGGGACACAGAATTGTTACTGAGGGCCACAGAACTGTTACTTAGGGCCACAGAATTGTTACTCAGGGGGACACAGAATTGTTACTCAGGGACACAGAATTGTTACTGGGGGCCACAGAACCGTTACTTAGGGCCACACAGAATTGTTACTCAGGGACACAGAATTGTTACTGAGGGACACAGAACTGTTACTTAGGGCCACAGAAACTGTTACTCAGGGACAGACACAGAATTGTTACTCAGGGCCACAGACACAGAATTGTTACTGAGGGCCACAGAATTGTTACTTAGGGCCACAGAATTGTTACTCAGGGACTTTTACAGAATTGTTACTGAGGGCCACAGAAACCGTTACTTAGGGCCACAGAATTGTTACTCAGGGACACAGAATTGTTACTGAGGGCCACAGAACTGTTACTTAGGGCCACAGAATTGTTACTCAGGGACACAGACAGACACAGAATTGTTACTCAGGGACACAGAATTGTTACTGAGGGCCACAGAACCGTTACTTAGGGCCACATAAACAATTGTTAATCAGGGACACAGAATTGTTACTACTGAGGGCCACAGAAACCGTTACTTAGAGGGCCACATAATTGTTACTCAGGGACAGACACAGAATTTATAGTTACTGAGGGACACAGAATTGTTACTGAGGGCCACAGAACCGTTACTTAGGGCCACAGAATTGTTACTCAGGGACAGACACAGAATTGTTACTCAGGGACACAGAATTGTTACTCAGGGACACAGAATCGTTGAATTAAAGAGTATGTCAGACAACAAGCCAGAGGAGTGGCAGAGGAGGCAATGTTTTAGGAGCGAGCAGACGTGGCAGCAGAGGAAGGGGTCGAGGCAGCACTATTCGCAGCCAGAGGCCAGTGCTCCCGGTGTCATCCAGCGGATGTCGTGTCTCCACCGACAACCCTGCCGTCATCGATTGGTTGGCTCGGGTCGTCTTCCTCTTCCCAGGTCACCTCTGACACCTACAGCCAACGGTCGGTGGGTACGTCAGACACAACCGTTAGTTGGCATGGCCCGGGACCAAGCCCACTGAAATCACGTGTCCTCTACCTGCCCCCCTGTCCTTTGGTGTTCCCTCACCAAGCGAAGTATCGCATGCTGTGGGCTCAGCCCCACTGTACAGTGAGGAAGAGCTAACAGAGGGCGGTCAGGAACGGGGGGAGACATCCGCCCTTTTCAGCAGCCAGGCGAAGAGAAGTAGTGGCGAGGAGAGTGGCTCGGTAGCCGGTCTAGAGACAGGTCTGTCTCCTGACCCAGACGCAACGCAGCCGAGGGGGCTAGTAGTGAGGCGGAGACCCCTACTTGATGATGAGTGAGGTTGATCGCACTTGGCAGCCTTGGCAAGCCTCGTCGTCATCAGGCTGCAATTTCTTCCGCATCATCAGGAGAAGAGGGTGCCAGCTTCAGCTTGGCAGCGAGCGAAACAGTCGGTGGGTTGCCCAGGAGGCAGCAGGGTCGCAGCAGTGTCAGTGGAGCCAAACGGCCACGGAGTAGAGCACCAGCTCCACTGCAGCCTACCACCACGGCCAGTAGTAGTGGTGCCGGTGTGCACGGAGGAAGCAGCAGTCAGCCAGTGAGGAGTATCGGGGGCAAAGTTTCCTACTCGGCGGTGTGGCAATTTTTCGTCAAAGCCGCCCGAGGAAGTAAACGTAGCCGTATGTCGACTATGTGGCCAGAAAGTCAAGCGTGGCCAGGGGGCCCATGTTGGACTACAGCGTTGCGGCAGCATATGCAGCGTCGCCATTTGGGTGGCCTGGGAAAACCGTGATAAAGATACGGCGGTTCTGCCCGCCCCCAGCCCCCCCCTCCATCACCCGCTCCGTTACTTGCTCCGTCACCCGACGTCAATCGCCCCTCCATCAGCCAGTCAAGGCTCCAACACCTCTGCTGAGGGGAGTTGTCGCTCGTTGGCATCTTCCGCTCGTCTGATCAGATGCTCCTTCTCCTGCTACTACTCCTCTTCACGGATTCCGTCAGCAGTCTTTCTTGGAATCCGTTTCCAAGAGACAACAGTTTGCGAGCACGCACCCGACGGTGCAAAAGCTGAACGTCCTCCTGTCCAAGTTGCTGGTGCTGCAGTCCCCTCCCTTTCCAAGTGGTGGACTCAGCACCTTTCCGAGAAATGATGATGCTTGTGCCGCGCCGCGGTGGAGAGTGCCAAGCCGTCATTTCTTTCTTCGCCAAAAAGGGCAGTGCCAGCCCTGCATTCACATGTAGAAGAGATGGTGGGCCAGTCTTTGAGCATGTCGGGTCTCTGCCAAAGTGCACGGCAGCGCCGACGTGTGGAGCTGTAACTACGGTCAGGGACAGTACATGTCATTTACGGCCCACTGGGTGAACGTGGTGCCGTCACAGCCGCACCAGCAACTTGGACAGGTCACGCCGCTTTTGCCTCCACGTTTGCACGTCCTTGGTCCACAAAAGATGTCCCGCCTCTACCACCTCTTCTTCCGCCGTGTCCTCAGCCGCCACCATGACCCCCCGTGCCAAGTCCCATTACCCGACCGGCATATCACATGTGCAGGGCGCAACGGTGTCACGCTGTTCTGCACCTGGTATGCCTTGGCGAACGTAGTCACACAGGGGAGGAACTTCTGAGTGTAAATGAACAGAGAAATCGACAGATGGCTGTCTCCGCGCAAACTGAAATCGGAACCATGTTGACCGACAACGGAAAGAACATGGTGTCTGCTCTGCGTCAAGGAAGGTTGTGCCATGCGCCATGCATGGCTCACGTGTTCAATCTGGTTGTCAAGCGGTTCCTAAAATCCACCATCCCACTGCAAGACATCCTTAAAATGTCACGTAAACTTTGCATGCATTTCAGCCATTCCTACACCGCAAAGCACACCCTCCTTGAGCTGCAGCGGCAGAACGGAATTCCACATCATCGCCTGATCTGCGACGTTGCAACAAGGTGGAATTCAACCCTACACATGTTAGACCCGCCTTTACGAGCAGCGAAAGGCCATCACCGATTTCCTCCTGATGTTACAAGCGGATAAAGGTACTCCCCCTGTGTAACTTCGATGTCAGCCATTGGCAGCTCATGCGTGACACCTGCCGCTTGCTCAGGCCTTTGAGGAGGCCACGCTATTCGTGAGTCGGCAGGACTATGGGATGAACGACGTCATTCCTCTGTTGCACGTCCTTGGAACAAATGCTGCTGTTAACAATGGCTGGTCAGGGTGCGGTAGACGTGGCGCGCACAGATCTCAACGCCACATGACCCCTGTGGGGGCAGGACAGGAAGAAGAGGAGGAGGTAGAGGAGGACATTTGTGCTCAGGAATTATTGAGTGAAATGGGTGGTTTTTTTTTCACTCAGCGGACAGGAGTGGAGGAGCAGGAGCATCTGGTAGAGGAGGAGGAGGAGGAGACAGAGGACCCAGACGCACCGTGGCAGTATGCTGTGGAGATGGAGGCAGGGAGTCCCTCGCATTCCTTGGCACAAATGGCCCATAGCATGCTCGGTTGCTTGCGTAGCGACAGCCGAATAATAACCATCAGACAGAGGGATGACTTTTGGCTGTCCACCTTGTTGGACCCTCGCTACCGTTCAAAAATGGTGGCCTTTTTCACACCTGCTGAGAGAGGGGGAGGCCAAAATAACGTACTATAAAAACACCTATGTAGTCAGTTGGTCTCTGCCTTTGTGCGCCAACGTCCATCCTCAGACACTGTGGGCCCTGTGCGCTCGCGTTCCGCTGCCATGGCAGCAGGGGAGGGGTGGGGTGGTAGGAGCAGTGGCAGCTCCACCACCAGCAGCGGCTGCCTCAGTCTGCAGTCGATGATGAGTAGCTTTCTTCACCAGCGCAGTGAGGAAACTACTAACCAGCCGCAGCAGCAGCAGCAGCAGCAGCATCAGGTGGACCTGGAGCAGGACCTCAAACAACAGGCTTGGGCCTACTTGGACAGCACCCTGCCAACCGAGGTAGACAATCCCCTTGACTACTGGGCAACGAAACTTGACCTTTGGCCCCAACTAGCTGAATTTGCCCTTGAAAAAGGCTGTCATGCCCGGCCAGTAGCGTGGCATCGGAGCGCGTGTTTGTTAGTGCGGCAGGAGGTATTGTAACTCCGCGGAGGACACGACTGTCCCACCCAAAGTGTGGAGAGACTCACGTTTGTGAAAATGAATCAGGCGTGGATTAGTCTGGATTTCAAACCACCAGTTCCTGACACAACTGACTAAATCCGCCATGAATCATGCCTCAAACATGTGCCACTTTCAGGTCTCCTCACACTGCTGGTGTGTTCCATTTTTTGTCATAGGGTGCTGGCAGATTACGGGCCTCCCATAGCTGCTGCCAGGCCCCTAATCTGCCATGGGCCCCTATAACCGCCTCCTCATGCTGCTGCCAAGTCCAGAGTCTCTCATGGGTCCCTGTACGGCCTCCCCCATTGCTGCTGTCTCCATCGCCACACTCTGCCCATGTGCCACTTTCAGGTCTCCTCACACACTGCTGGTGTGTGTTGAATTTTTTGACATAGGGTGCTGGCAGATTAGGGCCTCCCATAGCTGCTGCCAGGCCCCTAATCTGCCATGGCCCCTATACCCGCCTCCCTCATGCATGCTGCTGCCAGGTCCAGAGTCTCTCTGTCATGGGTCCCTGTACGGCCTCCCATTGCTGCTGTCTCCATCGCCACACTCTGCCATGTGCCACTTTCAGGTCTCCTCACACACTGCTGGTGTGTGTTGAATTTTTTGACATAGGGTGCTGGCAGATTACGGGCCTCCTATAGCTGCTGCCAGGCCCCTAATCTGCCATGGGCCCCTATATACCACCCGCCTCCCCATGCCTCCTCATGCTGCTGCCAAGTCCAGAGTCTCTCATGGGTCCCTGTACGGCCTCCCATTGCTGCTGTCTCCATCGCCACACTCTGCTGCATGTGCCACTTTCAGGTCTCCTCACACTGCTGGTGTGTTGAATTTTTTGACATAGGGTGCTGGCAGATTACGGGCCTCCTATAGCTGCTGCCCAGGCCCCTAATCTGCCATGGGCCCCTATATACCGCCTCTCCTCATGCTGCTGCCAAGTCCAGAGTCTGTCATGGGTCCCTGTACGGCCTCCCCATTGCTGCTGTCTCCATCGCCACACTCTGCCATGTGCCACTTTCAGGTCTCCTCACACACTGCTGGTGTGTTGAATTTTTTGACATAGGGTGCTGGCAGATTACGGGCCTCCCATAGCTGCTGCCAGGCCCCCTAATCTGCCATGGGCCCCTATATACCGCCTCCTCATGCTGCTGCCAAGGTCCAGAGTCTGTCATGGGTCCCTGTACGGCCTCCCATTGCTGCTGTCTCCATCGCCACACTCTGCCATGTGCCACTTTCAGGTCTCCTCACACACTGCTGGTGTGTTGAATTTTTTTGACATAGGGTGCTGGCAGATTACGGGCCTCCCATAGCTGCTGCCAGGCCCCCTAATCTGCCAGGCCCTAATCTGCCATCATGGGCCTCTGTACCTCATGGGTCCCTGTCCTCATGCTGCTGCCAGGTCCACAGTGTCTCATCTGCCATGCCATGTGCCACTTTCAGGTCTCCTCACACTGCTGGTGTGTTTCAATTTTTTGACATAGGGTGCTGGCAGATTACGGGCCTCCTATAGCTGCTGCCAGGCCCCTAATCTGCCATGGGCCCCTATACCGCCGCCCTCCTCATGCTGCTGCCAGGTCCAGAGAGTCTCTCATGGGTCCCTGTACGGCCTCCCATTGCTGCTGTCTCCATCGCCACACTCTGCCATGTGCCACTTTCAGGTCTCCTCACACACTGCTGGTGTGTTGAATTTTTTGACATAGGGTGCTGGCAGATTACGGCCTCCCATTGCTGCTGCC